AGGGAAAGATCCAGGAGAGATGCAATGTGTTTCTTTTTACTTAGAGGAAATGCATTCTTAATATTTGTGATAATTTATTTCTTGTTTTATTTCTAGAATACTAGTAATAAAACTGCAGCTTGTTGTGAGACAGGACTATAGAGATCTGTTTTTTTCTTCATAGGCTGGAAACGCAGGGGAGAATGACATATTAACTGATGTAAATCCAAAACCTAAGGAAGAAAACGATACAAGAATGGAAGAATTATGTCCTTCTGTTTATTCAGATGATGCTCAGCAGGCTATTCCAAGCCAGAGTGAGGTTGGACACAGCTGTAAATCTGTAAACATAGAAGCTGGAGAGCATTCTCCTCCTGCAGAAGCTGAGAAGACCAGTTCCAGTTCCACTGACCAGACTACAAGTGATATGCTTGTTAGTCCCATCAGTTACAGAGCCCTGTGTGGTGTTGAAAACTGTGTTTGTAAAGAGATGAGCCTTGTTCCTGATGCTGATAAACTGCCACCACTTTTGCTTGCAGTGGGCGAGAAAGGAAAAGGTAAAATTTGATAAAGTTGTTGATACTTAAATCACTTGTTGAAAGACTTCTTTATATGAACTTCTGTGTGTGTAATTTATATTTTAAGACAATTCTAATGCATCGTTTATTTGCTGCATGTTAGGTGGTTGGATAATCGAACATGCATTATTAACAAGAAATACTATTAACTGTATATGGAGTAGGAGACAGCATACACTATTTGTCAGTAATTAACAAATTAACGATAGCCCTAGTTTGCACCTTTGTAGAAGTTACTACTTTTTTATGTTCCTTGAATTTTAGGGTAAGCTATTCATTGTTGACTTGTAGCTATTCTAAGTTTGAGAATAATGATCACCCTCTTAAAGACGGGAGGATGGGATGGTCTTCTATATGTTAATGGTCTATAATTCGTGTTTTAGATAGTTGGCTGACATGTTGGACTAAATTGCTTGTTAATTTATTTAGATCCTCTAGTGGAAGAACATCCATCTCAACAACAGGTTGCCTTGCTTCTTGTGGAAGGAGGTCCTAATCCATTAACTTTTATTCTAAATGCAAACTTGCTTGTGAATGTCAAGCTGATAACTTGTAAGTAGTGCACGTTTTCTCCTCCATTAAATTCAACTTTCTCCTTCTGACTGTGAAACAGCATTACTGTGGTATGTATCTTTTAATTAAAAGATTCTTCAGAAAAGTGTTGGTACTTCTCAACGAATGGACTACATGGTTTGGGTCAGGCAGAAATTGTCATTCTGTTGAAGTGTTTGCCAGATGAAGAGATTTTTCCTAATGAAATATTAACATTCTTTAATGACATCTATAAAGATGCAACTAAAGGTATGTAATTTTAATGTCTAGCTTTTTATTTTGTAATACCTTCTTGCTGATCTTTAAAGCCAGAAGTTGATAGGTAAGTTTTCTTGAAGTGTTTGTAAGTATCTAATGATTCTGTTGAAAAACCTTGCAGTGTTAGTGGTGGTTTCTAAATAAACAACAGGAGGGAAGGAATGGATGTTTATTTCTTGCATATACTTCTGTAAACATCCAGTTTGCAAGGAGTTTTTTTATTGTTACTCAGTCATACTGTGTTGGAGATTCTGGGTTTAAGTCCCCAAGTCTATGTTGTAGGACACCTAGCACTTTGTTAGTAGACGTACAATACTCTTAGGTATGTAAATATTTGAGGTGTGTTAATTGAAGTTCATTAATTGGTGTGTGCAGGAACATGGTACACTTTAGGGGTTTTGGTATTTATTAGGAGAAGCCTAGTTTGATATTCAAGCTCATTAGTAAATACCAGGCACTAAGCCTCGGGGTTTAGATGTCTGCCAGACTTCCAGGAAGATGTGCCATACACCACATGGCTTACAAGTCTGCAGGAGACCACTGATTACAGTCATTTTCTTGACACTAATGTTAAACTTCTGCAGATGTGCAAAGACTCTGTCCCTCTTTCTGCAGGAAGGTTAATAAGAAACATGGAAAACATTACTTTTACTGAAAACTTTCTCAGTAACAAAGAGCATGGAGGATTCCTGTTTGTTTCACCAACTTCTCAGAAACTTGATGATCTGATTCTGCCAGATAAACCTTTTCTTTGTGGCATTCTCATCCATAAGCTGGAGATACCCTGGGCAAAAGTTTTTCCAATCCGTTTAATGTTGAGATTGGGAGCAGAATACGGAGGTAAGTTTTAACACTTTAGGCAGCTGTACAAATATAAAAAAAGAGAATACAAGGGTTTTTCTGGAAGAGCAAAAATATTTAAAAACATCTTTGCAGTATATTACTCTCATGTGAAAAGTTTCATACATGGAAAGCCACTTATTGAGACACTTGGGAATTCAAATTGTATTACTAGACTCCCTTAATTTGTTCCTGTTAGCTGATGAGAAAGCTAAGAGACCAAAACAGCAGTACACTATCAAAATGTCTGACTTCTGTTGTCACAGGAGAAAGGTTTGAAGGTCACAAGCTCCATTTACAACTCTAACAAATCAGAGTTTTTAAATTAAATTACTGAAATTGAGCACATGGGCAAAGCATTGGTAAGATGGATAAAGGTATTTGCTACTTATAAGGATAACTAACTAATTAGTACATTTGAAATCTCCAGGCCTGTGAAAATGCAGGCAGCATTCTTTCAAGCTGAAGTGGATGGAGAGCATGTAAACATGCATTACCACAGGCTGTGCAATGACACAGCCTCCACGTGGGAATTGCCCTCCACAGTCTGTTGCAGGCTGTTTGTGAGCACGTTCTGCTCTCCCACTGAGATGCACATCAGCTCTGCTCCAGGCTCGCCAAAGGAGAGTGATTGCACAGATGCCCATTGCCTTGAAGGACAGATAAAGCTAGCTTGAGCAAGACCTGAAAATAGTTATTGCCCTAAATGCCCTCTCGAGTTGCTTGTGTACTTGTTTGAATAACAGACATCTAATTTAGCAGTGTGGGTCCTGGTGTGTTTCCTGTTGCACTGATGCTTATAGTTTAGGGAGCGGATTGAAGCAACTGTTGCGTGCTGCACATAGAGGAACGGATTGCAAAAATGTACCATACCCAACTTTCCTGAATTGAATTCATTATTGATAAACAAGCCTACCATTCTAGAACCTGCAAGTACATAAATATGTATCACGTGCTTGTTTATGGATTTCTTCAGTCAGCAGGGAATTCTATTGGCCAGGCTTCTGTCTGGTGTTTACAAAGGGTGGTAGCTTCTTTATTCATCTTCTCACTAACCAAACGACTTTGGGGTTTTTTTAACTGATTTTGCATGATTTTTTACCTCAGTCCTGATTTTGCTATGCTACTTGGTTTGTTTTGAAATGGCTTCACATTTTGGCCTCCTGCATTTCATTGCCTTGCCTTCCCTGGTTTCCACCTGCATGGGTTTCCATCTCAGCCATGGGACTTCAAAGAATGTTACTTTGTGTGAACATTCTCACTTGCTCTACTCTTACCTATCAATACTAAGTGGTACTTCACTTTGTATTGTTATCAGTGGGTGTTAACCTGTACTGCATTCTTACTCAAGCAACGACAAAGCCTTGCTGCTTCTGGTGACCTAAAGACTGAACCCAGGATATTTCTGACCAGATTACCTATTGCAAGACAGGTAGATGACAGAGCAATATGAATGCAGCAACAAGTGTCTGCCATGAATTGCTGTCCCTAGGAGTGACTCCCTGCAATGACATTGCAGAAGGATTTAACCATGGGTGGGGTAATGATGCTGAGGGCTGAAGGACAGTCCGTGACAGAATCAGGCAGGGGCCTAGATCCTCAGGTTTTTGAAGTTAAGAAACATAGGCTGTAGCTGAAAAGAAAAATACTTGGGTTAGCAAGTTTTATAGTTGTTGATAGGTGAACATAACCTTTTATTTTTTTAATTTCCTCACCCTAGTATATCCAACACCTGTAGTAAGTATAAGGCACCGGAAGCCACTCTTTGGAGAGGAAGGAAACACAGTTATGAACCTACTTGTTGTGAGTAAATGTTTTCTCTTCCCTTTCTGACCTGACAGGCACATGCTGTGGTGTAATTGTAATAGTAATTACTCTGTCACACAAACTTAACCTTACCACAATAAAACACTCTGACTGTCTCACATGAAGAAGTTTTTGGCAAAACCATGAGTGTAAGTTGAGTCTAGAATCTATGTCATTTCTCTTAAGGAAGTTTTTCCTCTGTTAACCAAATAATTTATTGTAAACTTGCAGTAAGTCTGTATGCCTGACAGGTAGCCTTCCTCTTCTAATACTTAAATACAAGTTATCCTTAATGCTGTGATGAAAAGTGCTATAACAATAGGGAAAAAATTGCATGTATTACTTAGGTGTTCACTACATCTTCCTAAGCCTCGAGACCATTACAGCTGAGATGAAACTGCTGTCTATGGCTCCTCTTTCCTTTTTGCCACTATTGATGTCCATGTCATTACATAAGGAATCAATCAGAGTTGTGCCATCTGAGAAACAGCATGCTTGTTCAATAGAGGAATCTTACATTTTCATTCCATGAGTTAGCTCCCTGCCTGATTGGTGAAGCTTGAGTACCAACGTGGAATTGCATCTCCAGGCTTTGAGGAATCTTCACGTTGTGGTGCTGATGAAGCAGGATTCTTTGGAGTTTATTCAGCTGGTTTAGAGTTTCTCTGATCCTCCTTCATAGCTGTGTTTGTAGTGTCAGCTTGAAGCAGGCAGTGGGAGTACATGCTCCATGGCAGGTCTACCTCTCGATGCAACAGGAGTTGTAGTCATTGTAAAATGACTGACAGATGTTCTCTTGGTGTTGCATTTTTAACTACACATGGTGCAAATCCTCCACTAAAGATCACAAAATCTAGTACCACGTAAGTGGCTGAAGAAGTGCTAAATAATGAAGGCAAAGAGCATCTGTGGTTTCCTTCCTTAATACTGCTTAAACAATGCCAGCTCAGCTGAAACTTGCAATGCAGTAAGATGTGTTCATAAGTACCCTTCTTGCTACAGCTGTGCTGATTGAGGAGGATACTGATTATCTGACTCAACTCATGTCAAGAACCTTCTCTAAGCTTTCTTCACATGAGTTAATGAAGTCAACTGAGAGTATTTCACATCTAATGTAGTACTTCTGGAATAAAACAGGAGTATTATGCAGAAGTGGCTGAAATGATGGATGGTAACTTCTGTCAGAGGAAGGTATAAGAAACAGTGCAGTATTCAAGCTGTTCCTCAGGCAGTTAGAGCTGTAAGGAACAGTGTGTGAGCCTGAAACAAGCTAATCTAAATGGCGACTTCAATGCTTTGCTTTTCTGTTAGAGAGGGGGGGTTATTGAGGTATTTTGTTAAATAAAACTGTTAGATCCTAATGTGCATAAAGGTAAGAAAATTGTTTGCTAATGTAAAAACTTTGTCTGTTATAGGACCTTACAAATTATAAGTATACTTTGCATACCATAGACAACCTGTTTGTTCATGTGGAAATGGGTAGAAGCTGTATTAAAATACCCCTAAGAAGATACAATGAGGTGAGTAAAAAAAAAAATCTTTCTTAGCTTTCTAGTCCACACATTTTAGTTATTTTTCATGTATCAGTCACATCTTTAACATGAGCTTTTTAAGAACCACCCTCTCCTCCCTTTTTTTAGAGGCTGTAATTATTTCATTCTGTAATCACTTTCCAGGTAGTTATTCAAGTGAATTACTGAATGGTACAACTGCATGAGACTTAATGTATACTTTAGTGTTAAGACCAAGAAAATACTTAAACTGTAATATTTTGCATTGTTCAGAGGGACACGGACTTACTCATTACTCCCCACTGAAGTAATATTTTTTGATCATGCTTAGTGTTCCTCTAATTAGTCATGGCAGACTGTGTTCATACTCTCTGGATTTGACTAAGTCTTGGAACTTGTTTTGAGAGCTGGACTCTGCCAGTGTCTTGCATTTAAAATGAGTACTGCAGAATGAGATTTATCAATCTAATTACAGATTTTGTATTGACAGGTAATGAAGGTGATAAATTCTTCTAATGAACATGTAATTAGTATTGGAGCAAGTTTTAACACTGAAGCAGATTCTCACTTAGTGTATGTGCAGAATAAGCATGGTCTCTATCACACACAAGCTATAAGTGCTACAGGAGATCCTAGGAAAGGTAAGCTGTCTAGTTTGGATTGTGCAGAAAAATCAAATTTCTAGAGCAGAAATGTAAATTTAAACTGCAAGGAAAAACCTGTATTCCTAGTAAGTTGTTGCAACAAAAAGTATAGCATTCAAGCACCAAAGTAATCTACACACAGAGTAAAATGTTGCTGGTTTATATCAATGCTTAGCTACCTTTTACAAATGTTACATTGACTGGAAATTAATATTTTTCTATCTTTTTGCATAAAATTATCAATATAACCTACATTTTCAGACATAATCAGATTCTTTGCATAATTCAAAATCTGAGTGTAATATGATGGTGAATTGGGCTATATATTTACATATGTAAGCAAATAGCCTCAATAACTAAGCATATGGAAACGTGGGAACAGAAAGTACCTCTATACCACACCTGGCAAGCTGATGCAGCCACCTGAGAGAACAGTGCAGAGGTACCTCTGAGTTTCTGAAAAGGAAGCAGCTGTCCAGCCTGGCAGCCTGGCAGGGCTGATGAGTCCTGCTTTGCATCAGAGCTCATTATTTGAGGGAGGAAATTCCTGGTTTACAGGGCTGTACTTCAGTGTCAACCAGGAATGTTGTTCCTGCTGTGTTAAGCACAGCTACTTTCATGCTTTTGTTTGAAGCACTGTCTGTACCTAACTGATCTATGCAAAAGTTTGTAGCAAGAAAATTCACTTGGGTCATATTCTCTTTCAGTTGCTTTTAGTACCATAGAAAATAATCTAAACTTCAGTACATCTTCTGTAAAAACATTAAAACTTGAGTGGCATGTCTGTTGTAAAGGAGATAAAAAACACAACTACAACCCACATCACTGTTTCTTCAACTGTGTATCCTCTGTATATAGAGCTTTTTTAGCTTGCTGCCTATGCCTTAAAAGGATACTGTCTACGCTCACAAAATAAGTTAACAAAGTTGGATGTATTTATTTTTTTTGCTAAGACATAGGAAAGAAATCTTCTCTCTTTATAGAGTTGTTTCATATCATCCTGTCAGTACAGGATTTCTGGTAGTGCTTTCAGTATGGTAGTTCATTTTTCCTGCCTTTTGGAAAAGCAATTTGTTAAACATTACTAATGACAAACGTGAGTGATGCGAAGTGGTACTCACTTTGCTCCTACTTTTTCTAGTTACAGGTGTAAGTTTTGTGGTATTTAATGGAGCCTTAAAAGCATCTTCAGGACTTTTAGCTAAATCCAGTATAGTTGAAGGTAAGAATTTTGTCCTTTGTGGCTTTGTCTCTTAAGAGAACTTAGAAAATAAAAATAAAAAAAATCCAGCAGTCTTGTGCAAGATTCCTCAATAAGCTACAATTTTTCTTTTCAGGATTTTTAACTGTAGAAAACCTATTGCAAATGAGTGCTGCATAAGTAAATACAGGCTAGTTCACAGACCTGTTGTAAAACATACTAAGCCTTAATTCTATTTGCTTTAGTCAGTGTAAGTCTTACCTTTCATGGCTGCCTTTAACTGGAACTATATGCTTTATGGATGAGAGAGATGTATATATTGACATACAAATGCAAAAAAATTCTAAGATTGGTATTAAGTCTTAGTTCTGGTGACAAAAAAGGTTTTCATTACTTCCTCTTTCATGTAAAATTTAATAATGTAGTTGTGGGATGGAACTCATTTGATGTGCATTTATTAACAAGCAGTAGGAGAGGGCCAATCCCACCAGAATTTAAGCCAAGATGCTACTAAAAAAGCTGGTGCTAATCTTTCTGTAGATAAGCTGGAATTTTAACTGGTTTTCTTCTAGATGGACTAATGGTACAAATAACACCAGAAACGATGGAAAGCCTACGTCAGGCATTAAGAGACAAGAAGGACTTCAAAATAACTTGTGGCAAAGCGGATACAGGAGACATAAAAGAATACGTAGATATTTGCTGGGTAGAAAATGAAGAAAAAACAAACGAAGGGTAAATCAAACCAAATAAAAGCTTCTTAGAGAATTCTTGTTTCTAATTTTCAGATAGCCACCATTCATTTCTTTTAATAAAAACAGCAAAGGTTAATTTGAAGAAAGTACTTGATACTAAAACCTAAAAAGGGATAGAATGGTAAACTACTTGTAGCCCTCTAGATGTCACTAGCAGACCAATTTTGCTTGTAGTTCACTAACGTGTATAGTTTTCTTTCTTGGGGAAGTTGTTGTAAACATGTGTGAACCACCTCTGAAAGTCCTCTACCACATCAGTAACCAGTTCCTGTGAGGATGCAATTAATGCCTTTCAGCTTCCTTGTTGGAGATAGGGGGAAGGGCTTGGAAGCACATAGAACTGCCCTTGGCCAATCAGTGCTTGGAATGCCAGCATTCACAAAATAAAATGAGACACAAGACACCTTAATTTGATGTGATTTGAAGGCTTGTTTATGTAGCTTCAAACTTTTAATTGCACATCACAAACTCAAAACTTGTCTCAAGTTGTTTCTTAGGCTGCAGTTTTAATTTTGTATGCCTTCTTCTGTGGCCAACTAGAATAAACATTGGCTTTACCCAAGATGATTTATAGCTTCTTAAACATGTTTAAATTTCAATCAAGTAAATGTTGTTTGTTCCTTATTTAGAATATTTCTTTTTGTAGCATCTGTATTTTGGTTATGCAAGTCCTTTATTACACGTTCTCGTAAAGCTGTTTAAGTAGCTTTTAAGGATGGCTAAACGTTATTTCATAAGTTATTGAATCTAAATCATAAAATGTTGTTTTAATCATTAACCATACTCTTTATCTTTCACAGAATTTTAAGCCCAGTTGATGGAAAATCAATGGAAGGAACTTGGTGTGAAAAAATAGCACAAAGAGACTTAGAAAGAGAGGGAAAAGTTCTGAATTGTACCGAAGTTAGTAAATTATATTGTTCTTGAGCCCTTTTGCTACTTCTTAGAATAGACATTGCACTAAGTCATACTACTAAAGAAACTAACTTCACACAGAGCCATATTGATGGGTAGAATGGTCTCTGTAGGTCTCTGATACATTTACATACTTACCTTTTTTTCTCCTTTGAAAAAGACTAAAGCTCTATTAGCATTAATCACTCCTAAGCATATAATCCAGATATTCCAGTGGTCACTTAAATGTTTAAATACTAACTAGAATAACTAAATACTAACTAACTAGAATACTTTGCCAGCAAGCAAGCATTACAGCTTGCTGTGTTCTGTATTAGTGGTACACTGAATTACTCTTCCTTAATTTAATATAAACAGGCTAATGACTGTTCTTTGTGTAATTTCAGGTATACTATTTTCTGAAGGACCATAGAGTATCCAGTCCTGTTCCTCACCAGTTTGCTAAAGAGATTGCTGCTGCTTGCAGTGCTGCTCTTCGCCCACACCTTAAAACCTTGAAAAATAATGGGATGAACAAGATAGGCCTGAGAGTTTCAATTGACTCAGATATGGTAATGTTTCAGCTTTTATTGCAGACATTCCATTGCAACTGAAATCTTTCTTGTAAAGACCTTGAATTTCTTCCTGAATGCTTTTAGGTTTTTGCCCAAGCCCAGATGGAGCCTGAGGATGAAATTTTGTGAAGAAGCTGTATTAATGGCTAGTTTTTTCTTGAATTGAATAGTCTTGTTTCCTTACTCTGCTCAAATTTCCTAATAGCTGCTTGTAGTAAATCATCAGTCTTTCTCTAGTTCTGACTCTCTGGCACTGATCTGCCTCCAAAGGGAGTAAGTTTAGTGAATCATAGATCTAATTTTGTTATTTTCTCAAAATAAGCAGTTTTCTGCTCATTTTGCTCGCTAATGTAGTTCAGCAAGGAGTGTTTGCCCCAAAATCTGTACAGCAGAAAAGCACAGGTCAGCTCAGCTGAGCATGGAAGAGAGGGAAGGCAAGGCTATCCAGTATGTAATGCTTCTCAAAAGGTGACAAATGTGGAACAGTTCCTTGTTTCTGAAGGTGTTCTGTGTTACGCTTACCTTTTTTAAGAGAACCTGGAAATAGAGTCCTGAAAATCCATTTTTCAGCTGTATATTTTGGAATTAATAGTAACTGTGATAGATCATTCTTGGACATTGGACTGAACCAGTCTGGAACACAGAGCATCTGTGGTCCTGTAAACACAGGGGAAACGTTGGCACTTTTCAACTGAAAGCTTAACTGGTCATGACTGACCTCAAAGTCTGTTCAGGTACCAGTGTTGAGATCTCATTTTGTCACCTGATGCTAGCTGAGATATTCTTTTACTGGGATACTACACTTCTCTGCTGCCTCGTCAATACAAAAAGTGTTAATGTCCACATCGATATGTTTTCCTTCTAGTTCGAGTATTCAGCTGGATCTGGAGGTCACCCTCTTCCACAGAAGTATCTGAATGAATTGGACAATGATCTGATTCCTGTGATTCATGGTGGAATGTCAGATCCTACAAATCTACCATTGAAAATGGAACTAATATTTTTCATTATAGAACATCTGTTTTGATCAGTCCAGTTACAGGCAAGACGCTGATTTGCTAGATCTGAACACCAAAGTTGCAATGCTACAAACACTACAAAGATTAAAAAGTTTCTAAACCTGTTCTAATAGAGTTTCAAACTGTTTTATAAAAACCCTCAAATTCTCTCTGGTTACTTCACCACAAAAGAATTGTAGTTTGTAACGTTTCCTGAAGTTCTGAAAGTTTACACTTAATACAGGTGCAGAAGAGGGCAGGTTTTGTGACCTCTTTACAGCACTGTAGCATTTACTGTATGTAGTGTAACTTTAAGCCATACTATCTTGCCTCTTAACCTCAAATAAATACACTAATTTAAAAAAATTGCTAGGGTTAGTTCTGATCTTTGCAGCATGTGCTTTCCATGTGCAAATGAGCTCAACTCTGAAGCAGAAGCTGGCACAGAACTGTGTTCTTGCCCTTTGAGTTACAAATGCACCATCTTCTGTAGCTGACTGCACACTTCACGTGTCACTACAAAACGCAAGTGCACACCCTCTGACACTTGTTTATGGTCAGCATGGGGAAGAATTTTGCAGGCATGTTTTAACAAGACTTTGTAGTTGGTGTCCTTCACATCAGGATATAACACTGGTGCTTCAGGAACATAATGCTCTGAAATTAATTTTTCTATAGAAAACCTGATTTCTTTCCTGCGTTTATACGGTTTTGTCTAACTTAAATGGATGCTATTTTTATAAATACTGCTATTTTTTTTTCTTTCTTTGTGTTTAGAAGTCTTGATAGAATTTGACCTTTGAAGGATTAATAAAAATCCAGATTGCCCTTGATGGTAATCAACACTTAGCAATAAGCCGGACAAGAATTCTGCAATATCCTTCCTGCTCCTGCCTACTGCTTTTGCAACCTCTTAGTAGCCACCTTTACTTTCAGGGAGAATTGATGTATTAAGTGTGAATTTTCATGAACAGTTTGGGGGATTTTTTTTAGTATACCTGATGTTGTATAGTATGTATTTTTTATATTGGGTCAAGATCTATTTATGTATTTGTGATGCATGTGCTTTGTACTGAGGTTCAGTGAACCGTAAACTGTGGTTTGCTAAATGTCACACAACTTTTATCAAGAAGAGAACCAAAACTAAATCTGTGCAAGCTAGGCATTGTTTTCAGTAGAAATGCTGGTACCATTTTATAATCGGACTCGTAAAAACGTTGATGCCTTCTTGAAGTAATAGGGGATATCTTATGTTTTTGTATCAAAAACAATTTGTAACTTAACCTAATCTCTCTTCTGCTGTTACCTGTGCTTTAAAAAAAAAAATGGTTCTACAAAGTTCAGGCTGCAAGATCTTACCCTGAGGTAAACTGAGGCTGCACTTGAGCTAATTCATGTAACTTTTTGAGTGAAGCTGCAGTTCTGGAGAAGAGCTGAAGACCACACCACGTACAGTATCAACATAACATGACCTTGCTGGAAAAACGAGCTGCAGCTGAACTCCAGGACCCACCGGTGGAAGGTTGTTCAGGACTGTGCTGGGTGGGTGGAGGGGGCTGTTCCTGTACCCCAGGGGGGCCCAGCCTGGCCAGGGTAACTGGAGCCACGGCTGCCTCCTGCTACTTCCCTGTACTAACTCCTCTTAAGGAATAATCAATAAAATTAAGGAAAATACTTCGTATCTTGCCTCTGGTATTAAAAAACATTTAAAATACCGGTGGCCTCGGCTGCTCCTCG